CAGGAGGATCCCTTGAGGCCATGAGTTCAAGACCAGCCTGAGCAAAAGTGAAACCCCATCTCTACAAAAAATGGAAACATTAGCCAGGCTATGTTGGCACATGCCTTTAGTTCAGCTACTTGGGAGGCTGAGGCAGGAGGATTGCTTGAGTCCAGGAATGTGAGGTTGTAGTGGCTTCGATGATGGCACTGCACTTTTTCCCAGGCAACAGAGCGAGATCCAGTATGCATTAAAAAAAAAAAAAAAATGATTCCCAGAATAAGAAGAGAGCTGTGGTATAGAAGGGATGACCACTCAACAAGAGCTGTAATCTTAGGTAATACAGCTACTGACAACGGACCAATAAGCAGATGGGAAAAGCCAGGGGAATAAATATCCCAACCTCTGTCTTTCTTTTTCAGACTTCAAATTTCCTGTCCGTCCCCCTCAGTTGTACTCCAGCATCTTCCATTCCTATGAGCAAATGCTACAGTCAGCTGTTCACCCCTGGGTCAATAGGGGGATTATTAAAGCACTTTATTTTCCCCATCTGGCTCCTTCCCTCTCACTGCCTTGGAGAAGGGTGTTGTTACAGTTTGCTTGACCAAGATTTTTCTTCCTACAGCATTTCACCATTGTCCCACAAGGAGTTTTTCTCCCATAGGGTAAGATTTCCTGTTTACCCTGTTTTCCAGCATGAAATGCAGATTTTTGTTTGTTTAAAAATAGTTTCAGTTGCTTTTGGGGGGACTATGAGAAGGATGGAAGGTGAAAGTAGACAGTAAGCAGCAAAGATTCAAATCTCTATAATATAAATTCTTTTATCCTACTTATGAAGATTTTCAAGAAAGAGAATTCTATAATGTTTCCTCCCATCCATATGCTGACTAATGTCCTATGACTACATTTTATCTTAAATAAGTAACTTGAAAGTTAAGCCTAGTCCTTATTTGACTGTTAGATTTTAACTATAATACACTTGAACTTTTTAAAAAATTTAATTGAAAATATGTAAAAACAAAATGTTCTCTTTAAAATATTAATTTCAGTAACAAAATTGCATTTCAATTTTGCACTAATTGCCTAGCAATAAAATATTTACATAGGGATGTTTTCTCTTTATACAACTTATAATACTATGAAAAACAAAACAAAATCAATAAAAAGATAAAATTCCATTTCCATAGTATATGACCTCTGTATTACCCTATGAGCAGTGGACAAAAATGTTGATCATCAAACAAATACTCCTGGATCTTCTAAGGACAAGGCCTCTTGGATTCTATAATCTTAAGTGTTGTGTCTGAGTGATATTTCTTTCTGATCATATCTATTTCATCATCATCAAGTATAAATGATGCCAGCGCTGGAATCTGAGAAAAATAGTTCTTAGCCAGGATATGTTTGTGCTTGATCTTGTGAATAAATGAGCGTCTGTATCCCTGCAAAGAAAAAAAAACTCAAATTCTATTAAATATCACAGATATATTTTGCCAGATAAAAACATTGGCATGCTTGTCAGTTCTTTCAGCCCAGAATATATATATTTTTTTTCTCACTTTGTCCATCATCATTCAGGGCTCAGCTCCTATGACACTTTAACCAAGAAACTTTTCTCAATTCTCCCTCTGACCTATGTTCAAACCACTGCTAGTTACTAGCTCAATACTCATTCTCTCTTCCATTTGTATTTAGAGGTCTGATTTTGTATAGGGTGTGATGTGCCCAACTTTCCTAGTCTTCATCCTAACTAGGGGAGGCCATGTGATATGATAAGCTTCTGATATGTATATATATGTCATTGCATAAAGCTTACAGAAAAGCTTTTTAAAGGGGTTTTTAAGAGTGGGATGACTCACCTATCAAGCACCTTTAGCCTTTTGTCAAACCTGAAACATAGATATAATGCAGGAGGTGACGTAGCTATCATATAACTAGAATCCACAAACACGAACGTGAAAGCCAAAGGTTAAATACAGCTGAGTAAAAGGTTAGAGGGCCTGAGTTTTTGAAAGCACTGTGCAGATGCCACACTAGCCCCAGAATGCCAACCTCTGGACTTCGTTTTCCATGAGAAAACTAAACCCACATTTGATTAAATCATTATAAATTGTCTGTTATTTGCACCTGAAACAATGAAGAATAATATTCATAACATATGTACTTGTTTCTCTCCAAGCATTTGGCACATTCAAAAGTAAATTCTGGTTAAGTTACTAAGTGCCATCTATTCTTTTTATTACTCTTCATTGGCCCTCTTTGCAATCAAATTACAAATACTATCTGTACTTTCTCCTTTTTAAAATTTATCTTCTGAGAGTGAGCTATTCCCTCACTAAAGATGTCTTCATAGGGTCAAATCTAAGGTAAAAGAAAGTCCTGGGAAAAACGAGCCAAAGGATTTGTTATTTTTTCAGAAAGTATTATGTAGGAGTATCCCAGTTTCCTCTCTACAAATTTACTATGTTAAAATACTCACCCTTTGCACTCATCTAATTGTTCCGTCACTTCTTAGCTCATATTTCATTCAAAAAAAACTAACACACTTCTGAGGTACAGAACTTTATAGGTTTTCAAAGTACCTTTACAGAATTAAAAATTATTAAAGATAAGCATATTATGGTTTTACATTCAAAGGAATAATAAGTAACTCTTTAAGAATAATATAATATGGAAAATATCCAATATTTATTGTTAGGTAAAGCAAACAAACCAAGTTTCAGAGTAATTTAACATAAAATCAATGCTACAAAAAACTATATATTACTTATATACACATAGAAAGCTTCCAGAAGGATTTCAATAAATTATACACAAGAAATAGTAGTTATCCCTGCAATGTGGAAATAGGGATGGGTGGATATCAGGAGACTTTTATTTTCTACATTACACCCTTTTATTCTTTCAGATTTTTTAAACCAATAATGTCTTGCTTTTATTACAATTAGAAATAAAATTCACCCAAAACTTTTAAAGTGCTTTCATGTATATAGTTACTATCTAAGTTGATTCATGCCAAAAACTATGCTGAGAGTTTTAAATAATGGTCCATTTAGTCCTCAAACCTCACTATGATGACATATTATTACCTCTTTTTTATATAATGGGAAAACTAGGGCATTGAGACATTAGCACACTTTTCCAATTTCTCCCAGGTCATAAATGATAGAGTCACAATTCAAAGCCAGGGCTGCTTTTATTCCTCTTTACTGATTCCACATTTTTAGCTAATCTTTCTAAAAATTTATAAACCAAGGAGGGCAGGTCTTAATGTCCTGTAAGTTGTTAGTGACAGAGATGGGAAAGAACTGGATCAGTACTGTCATTTTAAGTCCATGATTGTTTCTGCTTGGGCCAACGTGCACACAAATGAGAGATCAATCTGCCTCAGGGTTCACGGAAGCCTTTTTCCATGTGTTTCCTATAACCTGGGTCATAATTGCAGGGAGTCAAGATTATTTTAACTTTTGAGTATTTTTTACTCCCTGAGAAAGCAAACATCTCTGTAAATTAAGGAAACTCTGAAAATGCTTTAACTTGCTGCAAGATTTGCAAGACATAAATTATTCCTTCCACTGAATATTAATACCTAAAAGATTACATCGGCCCAAAACCATAAAAAAAGCAAATGTTTTTTGAGTTTGTCTGGTTGTGAACCTTAGCTCTATTTACAGAAATTTGATAAGATTGGCATC